GTGCTCAGTTGAAGTCTAGGCTTCATGTTGTTGTTGCCATTTGATTCTGATGTGGCTCTTCCAGTCTGGTCCAATGCCAAGGGTTTAACCCGCCGAAGCCCCATCACAAATGGCCTTTCCCCTGGGATGTTGACTAACACCTCTAGACTTTTAAGGCAATTTGTATTCTTTATACTCTTTCTTCAAAGAGATGTTTCCCTACCCATCGTGTGTGTCTGTTTGTGCTGTGGCCGTACTCTTTCCCTTTGATATCTTTACTGCAAATGCTGTACATGCTTGTGGCTTGAGAAATGGAGATCACAAAACAACTTTCTGGATTCAGTATAGGTTGTATATGGGACTTGATCCTAATAAAAATACCAGTCACTGACCCTCAGGCACAGGATTAGGAAGAATGGCAGCATCCCCTGCTCCAACATTTTGGATTGGACTTTGACGTAGAACACGATAGGGCAAACACGCACTGCTGGTGCAAACACGGTTCTTCAAAGTTAACCTGCTTCACTCTGCTGGAGGAGAGGAGACCTGGCATGACACACAGAAACCAGGGGAAGCCCTCTAAGCCCACTAGTGCGTGACAAACGCAGTCACCACTCATCATACACGATATCGGCCAAGAACAGTGGTGCACATCATTCAAACAGCAGATAACAAAAGCAATCTCCTGGCTTTCTTTTCTACATTTTTTTTGTTGTTGTTTTTGGCTTTGGAATTTATTATATCATTTTTTGGCAGAAGATATGCCTTCTCAGGAACTGTAAGTTTGCTTAAGTTTATCTTTAAAAAAAAAAGGTTTGCATTTTCTAAGCACAAACCAACTGAGGGCACAGGGAGGAAGCTAGAACCATGAGGGGGCCTGTGGGGGCAGAAAGGAGCAGGAAGCCAGGGATGCCCCAAGGCAGAGCCCCCTGCGCTGATAGGAAAGTGACTGCATTGGAGACAACCTGGAGCAGAGAAGAGTGGAGAGAAACAACAGAGAGTGGAAGAGAGAGATACCTGGAGGGGAGAGAAGGGGAGGGCTGGAGAAGAAAATTCGAGAAAGTGAGGCAGCGGGCCTAAGATACAGATGGGGGACCAGTCTGTCCCAGTTTGCCAGAGATTGTGCCCCAGTACAATATCCTGGAACGTCTCTCAGTCCCAGGCACACCGGAGCAGTTGAGCACCCCAGGTCAGAGAGGTGAAAATGCAAAGTAGAAACAGGCGCCTCTCCAAAGTGAAAGCAGGTCAGGCCACCCCAAGTCCTTTTCTGGAAGAAGAATGCTTTGGTCCTGGCTGAGCCCAGGCCTCCGTGATCAGTGCTAGATTCCTTCAGAGAGGATGGCATCGCCCCACTTTTTCTTCCTAGAGAAGCCAAGTCCCCCCGAGGAGGGTGCTCAGATTGCAAGCTTGGGAGCCAGAAGAGCCACCCACAGGACCTGTCTCTGGGCTGACCACACTCCTGCAGTCCTGGCCTGAAATCCCTGCTTCCTCTACTCAGCTGAGATGTGGTGACAAGGATTACAGGTGTGAGCCACCATGCCTGGCCGATTTGAGACCCTTGATCCAGCCATCTCTGTAGCCAGTGTGCCTTCACACTTCCTGGTCACATGAGCTTGTACATTCTCTTTTCTACTTCAGTTTGTGTTGAGTTTCTGTCTCTTGCAACTGGAAGAATCCTCACCAATACACCTTTATCTATATAAAAAAAATAAATATAATTTCTTGCAAGACTGTTGTGAGGATTCAATGAGATCAAGGGTGTGAAAGGTATACCAAAAATAGTAAAACACTATATACAGCACTCATACATCGTTGGTGGGAATGCAAAATGATGCAGCAACCGTGGAAAAGTTTCGCAGTTCCTCAAATGATCCGACATAAAATTACTATATGACCCAGCAATTCTACTCCTAGCTATATACCCAAGAGAACTGAAAACACGTGTTCACACAAAAACCTCTACACAAATGTTCATAGCAGTGTTATTCATAATCGCCCAAAGTGGAAACATCCAAATAGGCGTCACATGATGAATGGATAAACAAAATGTGGCACATCCACGCGACGGCATGCCATCAGGCGAGACAAAGTCATGAAGTGCCGATACATGCTATAACACGGATGAGCCATGGAAACATCATGCTAAGTGAAAGAAGCCAGCCTCAAAAGGTCATGTGCTGTATGATTCCATTTACACGAAGTGGCCAAAAGAGGTAAATCTGTAAAGACAAAAATCAGATTAGTGGTTGCCAGGGGCTGGGGTGAGGGAACGAGGTGGCTGCTCACGGTTACAGGGTTCCTTTTTGGGGTGACAAAAACGTTATGAAAGGAGTGGTAATGGTTACACAACCTTGTGAATACACTAAAAACTACTGAATCGTATAGTTTGTTTTATGGCCTATGAATAAAAAATTGCAAATAAATAAAGAAAACCACTATATACACGTAAAGGATTATTATTATTATTCGGCTCAAAGGCCATCTCCATAGAACCCTTCGTCCAACTCTCTGGGCTTCCTTAGCCTTAGAATCTGCACCATACATTTGTCACTAGTATGCTGCTGCCTTCTGTGATTTAACGAATGTTTAATAATGATTCAATAAGAAATGCTTTTAAATAAATTATAAATAATAGATTATGATTAAATAAATAAATCTGCAGTTATGTCTTGTCTTCTCGGCTCCATCACCAGCTTCCCCTGCACGGGCTTCTCCTCCTATGCGCTCCTGCAGAGCACAGGGCACACAGTAGGCGCTCAAGCATGGGTCGGAAGCACAAATGAAGGCCACCTCTCTCCCCACCGTCCCCTATTGCACAAAAGCACACAAACTGATCTTCAGAACCCCCAGGCCCCTGACAGGGGCGATGAAAGTCAATGAATGGCAGGATTGTTCCCAGCAGCCGCCAGCTGCCACAGAGCACCCCTTGGGCAAGCAGCGTGCGGTCTCCTGCAGCTCAGCATGCGGACCACCCACACGCCAGAGGGGGCTGCGGTGCCCACCGGAACCCCCGATCCTGGGGAATTGGCATTCTTCACAAGTGCTCTGAGTCATCCCTGCACACCTGGAGTCTGAGACCCACTAGGCAGAGCTTGAATGTGTGCGAGGCTGGGAGGCGGGTTGCAGCCCACTAGAGAGCAGTTGCTAGTTAGGATGCTCTAGGTTCAAAGTGTCCTGATTCAACTGGCTCAAACAATAATGGGGACTCACTGGTCACATAACTGGCAAGTCCTGAGGGGAGCGGGCTTACGGGGCGGCTTCTTTCAGGGGCTCACCAAGCTCCTCCTGGAACCGATGTCTCCATTCTGTCATCCAGTGTCTGCCCTTTCCCATCTTGACCCCTGTCAACTTCTGAGCCTACAAAATTCCTCGTCCCAGCTTGGGAGAGGAGGCAAAGGTAGGAGAGAGGAGGGGAGAGAGTTCGTTCATTCATTCATTCAGTAGTTCTAGGAGCTCTTTTAGAAAAGCAAGAAAGCTTGTTTCCCAGAAAACCTTTTTCCTTTGGCATATTGCCTTTTCTTAAACTACGGCCTGGGGATGGCAACACACTGACTCGTTTTAACCTGAACCACATGCTTCCCTAGACACACACACACACACACACACACACACACACACACACACACACACACGGGATGGAATCAGCTTCCCCCAGTCTGCGGCTGAGTCAGAGAAGTGAAGACATTGAAGTAGAAACCAGGGCAGCTATGTTGGGAGGCAAACACGATGCCCGCTGCTATGCATATGTGACCGTGGGCCTTCTCAAAACCCAACTCAGCCTCAGGGATCCTGCCTGAATGTCACCTCCCCTTCCAACACCCCCTTGACAGAAAACTCCACCCTCTGTGCCCCCACACACCACCTGCACTCATCCACCCATCCACCCAGCTACTTTGTTCCTGGGTACTGGGGGCTGAGTACTCAGCTATGAACCAAAGATTTCTACCCTAATGGTGTTTTTCAGTCTGGACAGGGAGAGAAAAGTTAATCAAATGCTCACATCAATTGATGTCTAGTTTCTCTACTAAGTGCAATGAAGAAAAGATGAGGGAGAGAGGGGTGGTGGGGTATGAGCACGTACCTGGGGCCCTGATCTGCTGGGACAGGGGCAGAGAGTGAAGGAAGGCTTTTCCGAGACAGTGAGGGGGTCCTCTGCTCTAGCTTTCCCCACTCTCTGGCCACCCTACCCTCTGCCTCCGCTCTCTCCAGTGCTGGAAAGGTCAGCCTCCGCATGCACGGATTGCAGTCCAGCCCAGACTTAAAGCTCTTGCAATAAATGTGCATTGAATTTAATTGTCAGTGATTAGAGGGGCTGGGAAGGAAGGTTTCTGGATTCCAAAGGGCTTCATGTTACCTTAAAAAGTGGGTGCACGTCCCCCTGGGTACTTTGGAGGTGGGGGGAGTGGAGGTGGAGGATCTGCATTTACTGCCGGTCAGAAGCAGCGCCGCTGCGTGTGGCCTTTACATTTCAAGCCTCGGGGTGCGGGGAGACAGGGTGTGTCTCGGAACGGACCTTTGAAGGACATCCACTCCACTTGTCAGAAGGAGACCTGAGTCACAGCAGCTGTACCTGCCTCACCTTGGGTACACCTCCGAGCTTTGTGAAGCTCTTTTCTTCGGGAAGTGGAACTGTGCCCCACTGACCCTGAGCAGACCCTGGACGTGGTGTTGGTGCTGGGGAGGAAGGTGCTACACTGAGAGCTGGTTCCCGGAGCCGTTCTCTGGGATTTTCACCTAGGGCCGAGGTGGGGCAGGGGGAGAAGGAGAGAGGCAGAGGCGCGTGGAGGCCGCCTGCCCAGGTGGCAGAGGGGCCGAGACTGGACTGGAGCCGCAGCCGGAGTGGTGTCCGGGCGCCCCTCCCCGCGGCTCGAGCCCTCCCACTTCCTCTGAACGAGCCGCGGCTGTCAGGGAGCCGGGCGCCGCGCGCAGTGCAGGCTCGAGGCGCCACGCCGAGGAGGCTGCCGCTCTGGCTCGCCGCCCCCGCCGCCCCGCACCGGACCCCGCCGCCGCCGCCGCGGGCCATGGACCTGCCCAGGGGCCTCGTGGTGGCCTGGGCGCTCAGCCTGTGGCCAGGTATGTGCCGTCCTTGCCTCCCCTCGCCTCTCCGAGCCCCTCGCTGGGCCGCCGGGGCCTCGGGTCCAGCTGCCAGGAGCGGGACGCGTCGCGCCTCCCGGGGTCGGACCTTGGCTGCTCTTGGGGACGTAAGTGCCCCGGGGACGGCTGCTGCCTAGGGCCTCTGCCAAGCTCCGCGAAAGAGGGAGGTGCGCGGAGGTGCTTAGAGCCCAGACTCTTTGGAGTGTTTGGGAAGAGTTGAAAGCGGCGAGGGCTGGCAGCCCCACTGGGCTCCCTGGGTGCCTCCGAGGGCCACGCCGGGGCTCCGCGCCGCCACCGGGGGCACTCGGGTGTCCCAGGAGCCGGGAGGGCGCGCAACCCCGGCCGGGGAGGGAACCGGACTCTCCGAGCAGCGTCCCTAGGCTGCCTCCTGCCTGGCGCGGGGCAGCATCCCGAAGTTCGGAGGCTGGGCGCGGCAGCTCAGCTCTGGAGGGCAGGGAAGGCTGCCCAGAGTCCCTCTGGCCAAAGACGGAGCGAAGCCCGGGGGCGATCGGCTCCTAGGCTGTGGCTAGTCCTCCTGGGCAAGGCCAGAGGCGGCAAGATGGAGGCCCGCAGTCCAGGACCCCCGGAAAAGTTACCTGACACTCGGCGTAGGGACGGGGTATCGCCCCCCCAACCCGGGCTTGAAATTATGCAATTATTCAATAATCCAGGGAAAGACACTGTCGCCCAGACGCGCGCCGCTTAATGCATTCCAGGTGTCAGGGCGCTGCGAGAGCCTCCGGCCAGAGGCATGAGGCCCAGAGCGAGAGGCCAGTCCTGGGCTCTCCGCACTAGGGTACCCGGGTCCCGCCAGACCCTCCACGCGGGGGCGGCCGCCAGCGGTGCTCTTCTGCGCAAGGCAAAGCTTTCAGGGCCCCTCCTCTCAAGGCCGAGGGCTCTGACAAGGGCCAGCGCCTCGGGACTGGCCTGATGTGGGCGCCCGACCTTGCCTTCTCTTCTGCGTGGGCGCCAGGCCCGAGCTGGGGCCAGTAGTGGGGGTCAGATGTGGTGGTAGCAGGAGAGGTGCCCTCCGGGAGCACAGGTGGAGACCCCCCCACCGCCCCCACCCGCGGACCGCAGTCACTCGTCCTAGTCCCTGGGTACCACGAGAAACAAGTGCACGCTCCTGTCGGTCTATAGCAGAGCTTCTGGCAGAGCCTGTCCTTGAACTTGAACAGTGCCTCTGACTACTGGAGTTCAGTTCAGATCGTGGAGTCACGGTTTTGAAACACTGATGCATTATGTTGTGGGGGTTTGGGGAAGAGGGCAGGGGAAGAACTGCCACCAGGCCAGCAGACACCTAGAAACCAGCTGCAGGAGGATGCAAAACCCACTCTAGGTGCCTTTAGACAGGAGGGGAGACTACTCCAGAAACTGTCCTCCAATTGCCAGGAGATGCAGCCACAGGAAAAGAGACACTCCTGTGTGACTCCAGAGAGGTGGCTCCATCAGAACCTGAGATGCAGTGGCTGCCTTAGGAGCTGGGGCAGTCTGGACCTCAGGAAGCAAAGAGTAAAGACAGGCTTTGGAATCAGACCTGGTTCCAGTTCCGGCTCTATAGCCCACTAGCTGTACAGCCTTGGGACAGGTTTCGCAGCAGGTTTCCTCCCGTGAGGAATGGAGGTAGACATTCTGAGTTGGTACAGTTGTCTGGATGATTAAGTGAGGCACTGTAAGAAAAGCCCTTAACGCAGGGCTTGGTGCACAGTAGGGCTTAATCCACGGCTGTTAATGTTGTTGCTAAGCGGGGGCGAGTGGGGTTGGTGAAGGACAGGGATGTTAAAGGCCCTCTGAAGACACAGGATTTGTGACTCAGAGCTCCGTTTATATGGAGAAAACCACTCCTGAGTTATGTCTGGTCAGTTTGGGTTCTTGAAATATGGGATTCATTAAACATATCAATCAATGCTGGAACAACAGCATCTGCCTGCAAGGAGCTGGGGGTGGGGCTGGAGCATGTGTGCAATCTGGGCCCTGCTTGTAACTGAGGACAGGGCAAGACTGGGGAAGCTAAACGGAGACACTAGGGAGCGAATGGCGTGGGGAAATCAAGGGGTGAGTGTTCAGACAAGAGAAGTTCAGTTTCAGCAGATAAGCAAGGAAGGCTTCCTGGAGGAGATACATCTTTGAACTTGTCCCTGAAGGAGTCTGTAGAGTGTGCATGGGGCTAAAAGTAGGAATGTTTGTGTTTTTGAGTGTTATTTCCTCGGACTAGTTAAAGAAAAAAAAAAGGTGAATATTTTAAAACCACTCTGATCAGTCTAGACTCAAGATTGGAAGGGTCTCAGGGGTCAGTGGGTCCATTCCCCTGGCTCCAGGACAGGATCGATGTTGCATCTCATCTGTGCATCATATGGATTCAGTGTGCGGACTGCCAGGAAGCTTGCCTACTGGTGATGGCAGTTTGGCTGGGCAGGGGACCAGTCAAAGGCCAAGTTGGCAGTGAGTCCTCATTAAGGATATTATGAGTTCGGAGCCTCTACCTTTCTGGAGCAATGGTTGCAGGCTGAACAGCATGATGGGGTGGACAAAACTATCAAGAAAGCCTGAAAAAAAAAAAGAAGTAAACAAATCCAAAGACTTTTATGGTCTGACATTCAGAGAGTAGATCCACTGACCAGAACTTTATAATCATATCTGTACAAAAATGATGATTCTTTAAAAGCACAGTCTTTACTCAGCACCTGTTATCTGCCAGGCTCCATAAACACACAAAGCAAGATCAGACACAGTGCAGGGGAAGGAAGGCCCTGAAGTCTCACTGCCTGGGATTGGTCAGGGCTCTGCAACTGACTACATGACTCTGTGCCTCAGTTTCCTAACCTGCAAAGCAGGGATAATAATAGAATTTACAGAGTATCACAAAGATTAAACAAATGTACATAAAGTTCTTGGAAAGTTCCAGGCATATCATAAGCACTCAAGGAGGCTGTCTTTCTTCTCCAACATTGTCATCATCATCGTCATCAGTGCTCAAGGTACTGACCATTCAGTAAGAATCTAAGGACACACAGAGATGTGACTTTCAAACCCAAGTTCATAAAAGAAGTCTAGAGGAACTCTATTGGAGGCTCAGAGGAGATAACAAGTGCCAGGGCTCTAAATAAAGGGAGACTTTACTAGCCCCTCCCCCCCAAAACGTGGCCCAAAGTCTTGATTGTAATGGAAACTCAGCGATTTTTTTTTTATGCCGTTGAGGCTGCCTTGAAGTCAATGTGATCTCAGTGTGGGTGTGTGGTGCTGTTGGAGAAGAGAAGGACCACTCAGCATGGCCCTTGTGCGTCCGTGTGGGTGGGGTCCCGTTCAACAGGAAAAGCTTGTGTGGACGAAGCACAGTGCTAGACTAGAAATGTCCAACCCCTGCTCCCCAGCTTCAGAGAGCAGGAAGGAGGTGAAGTTTGTCGCCTCGCCTCCTGATTGCCCACCTTGCTGGGAGCCTGTCAGCCACACCCCTCGGCTACTGCCAGCTGTGCAGCTTCTGGACCCCTCTGTGTAACAAGCAGGCCCTGGGGGTAGAGTCCGCCTTTCTCCTCACTCTCCATGCCCCCTCCCTACCCGACAGGGGACTCCCCAGAGATGGGATCATTCCCAGCCCAGAACTCAGACAGTATCTCACCTTCATCTTGTCCTCTCTGAAACTTTTTCTTCCCTCCTGTAGTGGGAGCTTCCTCCTCCTTCTCCCAACAGCAGGAAACTTCCCTTCCATCCCCCCCTCCCTCTTAGCCCCTCCCCTACCCCCCCATCACTGGGGACAAAAATATGTCCTGAGCTGGTCTGGCTTGGCTTTTGCTATATAGAAGGGAGTTTGGGGAATTTTAAAAGCCCTTTTTTCCTCTCCATAATGCCTGACTTTGGGCATTATTGTCTCACCATAGGCTTCAAGATCTTATTTTGGGAGTCAAAGTTCAACATTGTTCTAAGATCCACTAGTAAATCTCCCCAGGCAGTAATGGGCTCTGGCTGACTCCAAAAGGGTCAGCTACAAACCAAGCTTTTAAAATGCTCTAATACATTTCAAAAACAGTATCTCTGCTGTTTCTCGTCACTATGTCCCCTTCCCCATCCACCCCAACCCACCAACCATGGGCTACCACCAAGGACTCGTAGCCATTTGGAACTATTTTCCCCAAGCTATTATGAGCCCCCAAGACACCCACACCCCCTCAGCATGGAGTGTTTGCTCTGATGGGCTGTGGACCAGGTGGGGACCATTCCCAATCCCATCACGTGCATCCTAACTATGCAAAGTCTTAGTTGAATGCCTAGAAGTTTATTACCAGTGAGGGAAAAAGAGCAGGAGGGAGACTGGAGTTGGTCATCTTGCAAAGCAAAAATAAATGAGCTCCAAAACTTCCACGGAAGGTCTTCATAGTCACAAGATGTGTGAAATCCCACCTGGAGGGAAAAGCCAGTGTGGCCAAACCCCCTTCCCACTATCTCTCAGTTCCTGCTTTGCTGAGACACTCGCCAGACAGCGGTAAGGATGAGCACGTGCTCCGGCTTGGGACCCAGCCCGCCTGGATTCAAATTCTTTCTAATTGGGTGACTCCAAATGAGCCCCCAGGCCTCATTTTTCTCAGCTGTAAAACGGGCAGAATAGCGACTTCACAGGCTGCTGCTGTGGTTAAATGATCCACATGTGATGCATTCACGTCGAGTGCTCACAGCAGTGTCTGGCACCCAGGGAGCCTTCTGTTGACAGGAGCAGTTGTCCTTCTCCCCATCAATTATTATTTGATGTATGCCAAGCACCGTGTCAAGCACTGTCTCACATCTCAGGCCAGCTGGATGAAGTCACTACTGCAATCACCAGGTTACACCTGAGAAGGTAAATGGCTCGACCTGTCAGCAGAGTAAGAGGCATTGTCAGGATCTGTCTGACCCCCAAACCCCTGCTCTTAATCCACGCACCATACCCTCTTTGGGAAATGGGCCTTGAGGACACAGAGGGACAGTAAGATGCCCTTGCTGAGGAGCTG